AATGCCACTAAGCAGTTTCTGCATTTGATTTCCATTCTCAGGTTTATCTCAATTTCCTTGGTATTCATCAACAAATACCTGTTGAGCAGCCAAGACCTCAAGGTACAATCTTTAACTTAATCTCCCTACTTCTTACAATTCTTGGGGCTGAATGCCTGTGGGTAACAGTCATAAAGTCCACTTATTCAGTTCCGGTCATCATGTGTTTTTTGTACATTTGTTTTTATGATGGCAAACGGATAATTATAATACACTGGAAATTTATTTGACAAGTCTTAAACAAAATGTCAAAACCCTGTCAAACTAAAACATAATATTTGAAATGAAAGCAGTATTCAGCTCCCACATTTTATAGATTCAGTTCTGATTAATGTATTGCACAATGTATTGTACCATAATTTGGGTTTCCAGATCTGTTTATGTCTCATTTGATTCAGTTGTAGTTTCCAATGTGTATCTCCCTCACAGCTGGATGCACCACTTTTTGTAACTTTCTACCAGTGTTGTGTGACAATCATGCTGTGCACAATGCTGGGCATTATGGGATCATTAGCGCCCTCTGTCATCAGTTTTCCAGCATTAAAATTTGACTACAAGATCAGTAGAGAGGTAAGGATGGATACAGTTTTCTTGTTTTCTGGCAGCCCAGTGTAAGAAACTGGGACAGACATCTGTAGTAAGACAGTGATTCCCTTGTGTGAATATTAGTTATTTTTGGACGCTATGAGTGCACTCATGTAGCAGAGTGAAAAACTGCTAGGACTCACCAGAACCATGACAACGACATTACGACTCCATGTTGAATATTTGCAAGATCAATTTTGTGAAGGGCAGAACATTGTTTTTTGAAAGCAATTATGGGGTTAAAACAATAGTGGGGTCTGCACAGAGACAGCATGCATTTAAATTGAAAAGAAACGAGAACACATTGAAAAACTGGCTTGGTAGACTGTGACTAATTACTTGATAGAAAGGTTCAGGTGCTCAAAAAAAAATTGGTTTAAAACCCCAAAAATGGGACAGTTCAAAACTCCACAAATATCAAAGTGTGTGCTTCAGAGTTCGGGAACTGTGAATTTTAACACAACGTCAGCTGAACCCAGCAAGCTTGCCACATGTACCACGTTTATGACACCTTTACTCATTCCTACTGAATTTACAAGTAGCAGGAGGGTCATGGGTTGGAGTCTCATGTAAGCAACCTTGTAAGCAAACTCCTGCAAAGTGTAGAACACGCAGTTACATACACTGGTCCAAGTAGACAGAGTGACGTCGAAGGGCAGTCCGGGTTCTTCACAGTTGTCTCATACTGTATGTCTTGTTGCTCAAACAGGTGTTGCCACTGTCTGTCGTCTTTGTTGGAATGATCACAATGAACAACCTCTGTCTGAAACATGTTGGCGTGGCGTTCTACAACATTGGCCGCTCCCTCACCACAGTATTCAATGTGGTAAGATACTTGAGGCTGGTTCTACGTGTAAATATGCCATCCTGGATTTGTCCACAGAGAGTCTTCCGTATTTAAACACTTAGCAGACATCAGTTGCTTAGATCCTTTTAACCTGTCTCATTGGATGTACATGTACTATCAAATGGAAAACAGTAAGATGGCCTTAGAGCAGTGTGATGTCTGGAGCAGGGTACTCCAGAGGATTCAAGCTGCAGTAAGAAAATCAGAAGTTCATGCCTTTTTGTCCTGCTTTGGAAACACAAGTTCCTTCTTCATCTCCCTGCAGTTCAAAACTGTATCCTGAGAGAAGAACAGTAGGAGAGTGCTGAAACCAAAGATAATCAACAAATACATAATATATTCGCGCTTTGCGCTCACAATTTCAGCTATTTTTTTGGTTTCCACTCCCCTGTATATAAATATATAAAAATAAGTTAAACTGATTTTCAACATGGTCAAAGTACATGTACCAATGTTACAATGTAGGTATAGGTTTTACAGAATGAAGGTGTATGCATGTAGATGTGATGTGCGATGATTTGCTCAATTTAAGCAATATTTACAAAAAAAGTACATTGGCCAAATGTTTCATTCAACTGTAGTCCATCACGTGGCAGTTTTCTATCCAACACATTATTGGTTCCATGTAGTCCATGCATCCATTGTTTGTCTCTCTCCATTTGTTGGTTTAGATATTGTCCTACGCATTTCTGAAGCAGACTACCTCTCTGAGGGCCATCCTATGCTGCTGTATCATCATCATGGGCTTTCTTTTAGGAGTCAACCAGGAGGATAGCTCAGGTATTGGACTTGTCTGTAGGTCTAGGCTGCTTGTAAGTCTCAGGTCTACATGTAGAGTCTGGACCCGGTCTTCATCAGTTACAGATGCTCGAGCTTGAAGCTTATACTGCAGGGCATTTGGACATTTTGTTAGAAGTCAGCTCCTGTTCTTTCCTTGTTCTGTGAAGGGTCCCAGGGATGCCATCTTTAAGGCAAAAGCCTGATTTCAGGTTTTATCACGTGAAGTACTGAGCTAATTTGAGATTTTGAGAAAGTATGTTAAGGTTTCTCTGGTCATGTTTTTCTGTTCTGAACAAAACCCTGACTGACGTCCCTGGGGTACTTTTTTTTTTCTGAAATTCTGTTTATGTGTCTGTTATCCCCTACCCATGTAAAATCCTCTTGAAGTCAGATTGGACCTATGTTTGGTGCCCTGTTTCAGGTGTGTTGTCCTACATTGGGGTGATCTATGGCATCTTGGCCAGCCTGTGCGTCAGCCTCAATGCCATCTTCACCAAGAAGACCCTGCCCTGTGTCGAGAACAACATCTGGCGCCTCATGTTCTACAACAACATCAATGCCGTGCTGCTGTTCCTGCCACTGGTCTACCTGTCTGGAGAGGTAGGCAAGGTGTGGGATTTCCCCCACCTGTCCAGCCCCCACTTCTGGGCGATCTTGTCCGTCAGTGGCCTCTTTGGGTTCATGATCGGCTACATCACGGGCCTCCAGATCAAAGTGACCAGCCCCCTCACGCACAATATCAGTGGCACGGCCAAGGCCTGCGCCCAGACCATACTGGCCGTGGCCTACTTTCAGGAGGTGAAGACCGCCCTGTGGTGGCTGAGCAATGCCATGGTGCTGGGCGGCTCGGCACTCTACAGCCACGTGCGCCGGCAAGAGATGACCAAGGAGCACGCGGAGAACCTTAAGGCCAAGGCGGAAGAAAAAGAGGCCAGTAACACTCTGAGGTCAGGGAAGATGATTAGCATTTAGGAGCCATCATACTAAGGAAGCGGCAAAATGACTTAGCCTTTCCAACAAGTATCGGGAAAAGGGAATTTATGTGAACTTATGATACTCATGTAATTCCAGTATTACGTTCACTGGTGATCAATCATCAGGATGCGTGTTTGAGACTGTTAGTGCGGCAACAACAAAAATATTTAAACAACAAAATATGTTGAATCAAAAAACAGGTCACAACAGTGAGCCATTGAGGCTTGTATCGCAGGCAGTGAACAGGGAGTATTTGCTGCCAATGACAAAATGCCCTTTACTGTACTGTACTGCCATGTGGTTCTTAAACTGCGTGCACGGTGGAAATCCTTTGGATGACATGATGGCAGCCATCTTGGAGGCACATGCTATTGTTCCACAGGGATCCAGATGCATTTACCTCTGGTGCACTCTCCACATTACTGAACTGGGGACAGCGAGACTTCTTCCTCATGGCTACTGTGCAAACACAGTGCAAATGTGCACAAATCTCTCATCCTTTGGCTTCATCTGCATCAGGCATTGTTGTACTGTCATGGTAGTGGCTGTAAGCCACGGAGGCATGGACTCCATAAAGAAAAATCTGGACCCACAATCCGTTACCAGAGGTCATTGAACCACCAGCGTCCATCTTATCGTACAGTGCCCAATGCAAAAGTAATACAGTACAAGCTTTCTTGACATTTTGAACCAAATTCGTTTGTGACGCTAGTAATTATCATGGCGATCCTGCCAATTACTGCCTTTGTATTCGGCACGATAAAATGGCTGCTGATGGCTTCAGTTAGTACCAAGGCAAGGCTAGTCCAGGTTTTTTTAATGTGACATCCGTGCATGGAGGAAAAAAGGCAAAACTGAAACTCTAGCCCAAATATTATATGGAAAAAAGCTCCTCCATCTTGTCAGAATTTGGCTCTGAAGTCACAATGTATTATACGTTGCATTGACATGGTTACAGCTTAAAGCTTTATTAAAGGTCATTCATTACAGAAGGCCATTGATCGTGAATGACTGGATCGCTTGCTGTACCTGAGGTATGACCCACAGTATACATGTAGGATTAAAAGGATCCCACCACATCCAAATGTGTTTTTTTTTCTGGCTGTGGCCTCAGTTTTTGCCATTAGCACACCATGATAAAATGTCACAGCTGCAGTGCGTAAATACCTTTTTCATATGCAGCCTGCATGCTGTCTTCCCGACGAAGAATAGCTTGGGTGGAGTATCCAAGGGTCAAGGTTGCTTGAATGCATTGGGGTTTTTTTTTTGTCGGACCGACTTCAAAGAATGTCTCAGTGTGAAGAGCAGAATCCTCAGAGTACATGTATGCGGTTAGTGTAGGTGTAAATTGATTTCTAGCAAGTATATGCAACTATGCACACATCATCAGATCGTTGCCCAAGCGTATGGTACATGTATGGAATACATAACACATGTATTGGATTTGTACGTATGCTGTCAACAAAAATAAACAATGGCCACTGACATGTACCGTACCATCTGCACGACCCCCCTACACAAAGGTCATGTGTCACAGAAGAAAAGTCCATGCAGAGGATTAACAAGTTTTATTTTCCAACAAACTTAGAAAGAACATCCCAGCAGCATTGAAATATTTTTATTTTTTTAAATAGTCTGTTATCAATTTAAAAATTACGGATGTTCAGTCTGTGTTAATGTCAGTTTTTGATTGGTAATGTGTAGTTTTATTGGTGGGTGGAGGGTACAGTACATGCAGTCAGAGTGAAATACATGTATTGGAATAAGCACTGAAAGTCTTCTTGCTTTCATTTTGAGAAAGA